TATGTATATATATTATGAAATAATCAGTGTTACCATGACCAACAAGTCGGTCTTCCATAATAATAATAATAACTGTTTTCATTATTATTATTATTATGATTATTGCTGTATATTATAAAAATTGTATAATTAATTAATTAATTAATCAGTGTACCTAATAAAAAATTATTACCTTTATATATATTATTACCATCAGTCAATGTAAATTTTTTTGTAAAAAATTACAGGGCGAATGGATTACGTTTGAATGTATTTTAAAAATAGTAATAATAATAGTATTTGTGTGTGCGCGTGTGTGTGTGTGCGTGTTTGACAACCTAACCTAACCTCTTTGCATACAGGGTGTCGCTCATAAATTTGAAATATATCTTTCATGACAAAAAATAAGCGGAAAATTTTTAAAACAAAAAATAATAAAAACATTCTTGCGCCACCCTGTATATGAATGTATTATTTGGGGATGAAAAGTTGTCAATTATCATGATGTTTATATTGTGCTCCATAAAAAAATAGCTACATATTATAAATGAAAGTGTAAATAATGATTTATAGTGTCAATAAACTAAATACGTACCTAATACTTATACGACGATTTTTTTTTTCAAATCGTATAAAAGCTTGTTTATAGTTTACAGGTTTTCATAAGGGTAGAAAAATAATAAACAACGCAAGGTAAGTGCAGTACTCATTGGTAATTACCACTTTATTATTATTTTTATTTTTTATGGTCTCTATTGAATAATACAATAAATTAGGAACAGAACTGAAGAAGAGAACTGATTCCAAATTACTTAATCGTGTCTAAAAAATTTGTTAACTCTTCCAATGTCCTTGAAAGATTGAAGGGTAGTTCAAGTTGTCTTTAATATTTTCTGTTAATTTCCTATTCTTCCTTTGAATTTGAAGGGATCGTAATTTTACTTATACATGAAAAATATTGCTTTGGTTATTTAAATCCATGTACTTATACACAAATGACACAAATTGAAAGATGACTTCTCACCGTCTTAACTTTTTGTGAGCTTTTATTGTATACATCCCGAGTAAGTAAGAGTTTTAAATGAAACGTAGCGGCCCTTCCTAATTTCAAATCGCTTAAAAATAAGTGATGTTTCACTAACTTTATATCGTTTTCCATTTTGTTAAAATGAAAGTAAAAAATAATAAATCCAGCGCTCAGTTAACGGCAGACAGTTTCCGGTGATACTAAAATTGATTGATTAAAATTCTGGATCTCGTATTGATTTTGTCCTGTTTGCCAATAATAGCAAGATTATATTTATCGCGGAAATCACAAAAAATATCACGGAGCAATTTTGGTTTACTGTAACAGCTTCGACATCGATTCAAATTTTTCAGAAGTTTGTCGATTTGATAATGACTTTATGGATACTGAATATACAAATACACATAACAGTGGATGTGTCTTATTTGTCTTAAGTATTTTATTTAGGGAGTAAGATCAGTTGCAATGAACGAAAAACAAACTTGAAAGTTTGTTATTGATAAATCGTTGTATATACACTATTAGGCCTGTTTTGCCTATATCCGCATTTTTGTTTTCTATCAAAATGACTACTACCTAGTTTCTTATATTTTTGCTACTGCATATCCTATTTCTCATAGACTAAGAGCCAGGACCTGTAAGACAGACGTTAAAGTATAAAGGCTAGAAATTTTTGTGTGCATTCTCACTACACTAGGTAAGAATGCTAAGGGGTTAGAAACCTTGACTAACGGTGACTTAGTCAGGTATCAGGTAATAAAGGTTTCCAATAAAAGCTCATTCACGTTAAAGTATAAAGTCTGGTATTTATATATATTGTTTAAATAACTTTACAACAGTATTTGCAAAGCCAGACCGATCTGAAGGGTCTAACACACCTCCAGATCCAGTATTAGGGCGAAAGAACCCTAGAGATCGTTGCCCACTTGCAGAAATATATTCACTGTAATTTTAAAACGGAGATTTTTTTTTAAATCCCTACCTTAAACTTCCAATGTTAAAAGTATATTGAATAGTAGTATACTTATGCTCCGTTACATACATTTATGCACGTGAACAAGGATCTCTTGGGTTCTTTCGTCCTTGTACTGGATCTGGAGGTGTGTTAGACAACATACGTATATAAATGCCAGACTTTATAGTTTAACGTGAATGAGCCTATTTATTGAGCACCTTTATTACTTGATACCTGGCTAAGTCACCGTTAGTTTTTACCTGCATCAAACTTTTTCTAGGTTCTTCCTCACACCTATTTTATCAATCCGTTGCTCCTTCAAACTTTATCCCTAATATACTGTAACTCCTTCATCGTCCATCCTGATGCTCTTGCTGTTCTGGTTTTCTTCAAGTAATACTATAATCTCTTTTGTTTTCCAGGGTTTCCTAAATAAATATATATGTCCGTAAATGATAAAAATTGATCTGCATTTTTTTTTAACTTTACCTACTGAAAATACTATAAGTAGATTCAAATTTTTTAAAGATTTATGAAAAAACCAAAAAACTGTAATAACCCTTAAGCGTCAAGTCAATCAATTATTTAATGAAAAACTAAAAACATTTACGAAATTTATAGATGTTGTAAACGCTTATTTACTACATACATACATACATACATATATAAAATACATGTACCTAATACTAAACCTATTTCGTGAAAATCAAGGACCCAATTACGCACTTCAAATATAAACGATATGACCTAGAACCTCTTTCTTCCAATTAACCCCAACTTTTCACCGCTACTAAATTAACAAAGAACACACCAAATTAAGCATATAACGAATCTATTCCAACATACACGACCCTCAGCCAGCCAACCAATTAAGTATCACACTAGTATAGCGTACGTATGTGTAGAACATACGTTCCTTAAGTAGGTTACTAGGAAAACCAAATCAAAAAAAAATTCTATTTGAACGACGAATAGAAATTGATTCAGGCTTTCGAGCGCAAAACAACGTAGTACTCAATTATGTTATCCTCTGAAATACGAGGAGAATAGGGTAAGGTAGTGCCTGCCTCTATCGAAACATAATCGACACGAAGCCGTCTAGTTCGTCTGGCAGCGGGATATTGGCAGGAAAAGTGGCGTTCCACCCCATTGCGGTGGCTGATCGTCAAGAAAAAGACCGCCGACGCTTCCCTACTGTATTAATAACGAAAATTAAATAAAATACTTTTACTCCTCGGTCTCGTAGAAAATAACTATACGCAGTAGCAAAATGGAAGAAAACGCATTTGAATTATGGAAGAAACAGAAAGAAGAACAAAGACAAAAGAAATTCCAAGAACAACAAGAGGTAAGTATTATTTTTTAGTAGGTAAACTGCTTGACTTGAAGAGTGTAAATTGTAATTAAAAATTAACGCTTAATTTTCTAATGAACTTAATACGTGTTTCACCACGGTGTTGTGGCTTCTTCAGAAACTGTAGGAAATTCTAAAGGAAATTCCAACTTCTGAAGAAGAAACCCCAACGTTAAGTTCATTACAAAAGCTTACAGAAATTACAAATGCTTAATTTTTCTAATGAACTTAATACGTTTTCCGCCACGACGTTGTAGCTTCTTCAGTAGTTGTAGGAAATTCTAAAGGAAATTCCAACTTCTGAAGAAGAAACCCCAACGTTAAGTTCATTACAAAAGTTTGCAGAAATTACAAATTTTTAATTTTACAATGAATTTTCACCAAGTGGAAGCAGATTTAATTAACTGTACAAATAATTGTAAGAGATACAAAAACTATTTCGAATATATAAACTAACGTTGAGATAACTTTATTCAAAGTTTTGTAATCTCGCAAATGGCTAAACCGATTTGTAATTCGATTCGTGGAGATGGTGTTCTTATTTTTTTCTTTGTTTTAATTTCCATTTCGGTCATATACATGGAGATTGCGCGAATAGTGGTAGGTTTTTACTGGAAATTTTCTAGAATGCTACGGTTAAAACAGGTAGGATATGTCAGCATCATGCTGTACCCCCCTTGTTCTCCGAACATCTTGTTTTTTAATTCATGTTGTTATCTCAATTAATAAATGAGATACACAACAATTAAACTGAAGGTGTAGGTACCTACAATTGTGAATATTTCAGGGTGGAATTTCCCTGGTACTGCTCTAACAGATCTAGTGTCTTTGTGTGGAGGTTTCTTGAAAACTGAATGTTATTACTTTTGCACAGTACATTGAGACTGTCCACCTTGCTGTCCCGATAAACTTTATAGAACTTTTTTGTAAGAAAATTTGGATCTGTTTAAGGCAGACAAACGTGTTTGGACTCAATCGAATCGCCGTTTCTTCGGATTTTCATCGTCGCCCATAGCATCTGTTGTGATCATTAGTTTTTTTCAAATCAATCTTTTGATTGTTGCTGTGTATAGGTCGCTGTGAGTTCTTACTGAAATTTTGTTATTAAATTAGAAAACAACGCGAATTAAAAGACAAAATATTCGTGAAAATATAGATCCCGGCTATATTAATTAATCTTATCGTCCCAGAAGATGTTACAAATTTCAGGTAAAAAAGCCTATCATCTTTTGAACATTTCGCTTAATGACCCAAACCAAAAACATCATCTTTGCAAAAGAAGCAGATTGCATTAAAACAAAGATCTTAAAAATCGGTGTGGTGGTTTGCGAGAATATTAATTAAAAAAAATAAAAATAAATTTTGAATTTGTGCCACTTTTGGCACGTTAATTTTGACTGGCGGTCTATTTTAATAAGTTTTTTAGCAATTCAGAATTGAGAATTACATTGCCCATTACAGAGCTATATTTAGGTCACAAAACTACAATTAATGAGCCAAAACAATTTTTTTTTTAATAATTCCTAAATACAAATATGTTCATTGGGATCTACAAATCAAACACTTTGATGATATATAAAAATTATGAAAAGAAAGATTACATAGTATGTGCTACAGTTCCTAGCTTAATCCTTAATTAAATACTAATTTATGTCGTTTAGTGATAAAATAATATGAAGTCTTTGTCATTGTTCAAAAGCCACAACTAATATGACTCTAACTAACTTTTAATGTCTGAAAAGGTATCCTACCAACCTATCTCGCCTATTTCTATCTTCTCATTTTTAACCTTCTCTATCAATGGTATCCTCATCATTCGCCTGTAACACCACATTTCGAATGCTTTTAAGTTGTTCGTTTCCGCCGCGTTCACCACCCGTATTTCGACTTACTGAATTAACCCCTCGGAAGCACAGAAGAGATTCCTTTTTGTTAAAAGCGACCCTACCCTCTGTTTTATATCTCTACATATTGCTCGTCCTTCCATACTGAGTTATCTGACTTCCTGGATACCGAAAGTCAGCCACTTCTTCTAATTTTTCGTATTTTACACTTCTGTAGTTACTTTTTATTAAAAACAAAAATTAATTTTATTAATAAGACATGATAATAATACACAAATGACAACTCAAGAGCTTTCCCATTCATTGTTTTTGGCTCCTACAAATAACTGAAGAATTTTTGAAATAATAAGGAATTTTTAAATTTTTTCTTACAACTAACATATTTTTGTTACAATATTAAACAGATTGACACCACAGAAACATAACAATGATATTTCAAGTTAATCCGGATAATATTTTAAGACCTTAAGGGATATTAAACAAGAAAACACATGAATTATCGTAATATCTAAAACTGCAAACGTTCCGGACAAAGTAAGACTTTTCAAAGTGCTAACAGGAATAATTTGATTCATTGCAGATAAGAGAAATGATGGAGAAGTATTGGCCATGGGAACACGAAAGGACCAAACCACGGGGAAAATCGAACCTTTTTGAAGAAGAAATATATCCAGTTGAAGAATTCGGAAAAGTAATTCAGAACGTACAAAAAATACCTCATTTAAAAACTGTTCAATGCCTTAACTTTCAGGTCAAAAGAATCACGGAAATACCGGAGGTCAATAGGCCTAAACAATTGGGCAATAAGCACATATCACATGCAAAAAGGGCACAAGGTAGCAAAGACACTTCAGCAACTAGTACTAAATCGCAAAATGTCGAAATTTTTAAAAAAGACCTCCGTAAAGAAAAGATCAATTGTTATTAGTAGGAATGTCACCGGTATGAAACAATTAGTATACCTACATGTACTCACATAATATATATATATAAAGTTCTCAATAGACAGTAGAAACACTCAAACTGTAGTTATTATTTTCATTCAACAACAACATCGTCCCTAAAACATCACCATCACACCAAAAAATACACGTACACTAAACACTTCATCAATTACACCCGGATGTACAACATCAGGTATTTAAGACAGTTTAGGATATTTTGGCATAAGTACAATATAGAATAGTGCGTAAGATTTTATAATCGAGATTTCTCTAACGTTTAGGTACATAGATTTTGAATCAACACTGGGTAATACTAAAAAATATACCTAAGGAAATATGCAATATGGTTCATATAAATAACGTAATTTTTGAATTTAGGTAGAAATCGGAGCAAAACAGTAATTGAAGAAAGACAATCGAAATTTCGTTGAACGTTTCGCCACTTTGTAGCTTCCTCAGCAACTACAAAATATTTTCAAAAGAAAATTTTAATAATTGTTTTTTAATAGATATATGAAATTTACAAGTTCGCTTCTAAAACAACTACTTAGTTAACATGTATCAACTTGGTTAAAGAAACTAAGATCAATGGATTTCTTTTCCTGCTGCTTTTTTAGCATGTGCTAAGGATGAATCAAACCGTCGCAGCCTTGAGTTCCTTAATAATGACAATCTAAAATAGCAAGCATATAATCCCACACATCGGGATTTCCTCCCGGGTGTAAACGAATTCTCGGGAAGTGGTGCCGTGCGTTTTCGTCCCTGAAATGAGGAAAAACCATTATACTTTTAGTAGGGATACGTCAAAAACGTAATGAATATCTCAGACCGCATGTTAAATTTCGTCCCTTGGCGCGTATACAATTTTTCACCACTCTTTTTAAGCAATTATGTAATTTAGCAATCATGAATCGCAAATTCTCTTGATTTGGACAAAGTAATATACATAAATTCTTCAATTATTAGATAAAGCCTCATATGGTTACACCGAGTTAATGTTATATTTAAGGAGGACCAGTACTTCTAATTCATGGATCTTGGCTCACCCATAGCTATGTCCCTACTAAGACTACAAATATCATTTGCGATCAAAATTTATTTCGATATGGAATTTTTGATCTTAAAACAAACAACCAAAACAGTAATCATCTCCAATGTGTCTTGCCGCATACTTTAAACCTAATTGCAGAACTGCTTAGCAGTAATTTTTAGCATCAGACATTTTGGCCTCAAAATTGTCTCATATTGAAATTTCAAGATACGTATCCTAATCACAAAACCAAATAAACCAAAATGGCAACAGCAAACTCCGATTTTCTTGGCCTTTAACGATGATTAGCAAAAACTGAACTAAGATAAAAATCATGAGCCTTTGTCTTAATAAGGATCCATGGTATATCTTTATAGCTTGTTCAAAGAATGTAAAAATAGGTAGTCAAAATCTCAGGATGGATGATGAAAAACGCACAAAGACGTAAAACAATTCATTTTGATAATTTAAATTAATTAATTAGTTAATTTTAAAATTTAAAAATAATAATTCAGTAAATATTATAAGATCCAATAAATAATTTATTGAAGCTAGAAAAATTAATTACAATAGAACAAAAATTACATTCTTGTTTCGATCAATTTCCTAAACGTCATTGAATCTTACTATTGCATAAACTAGTTAATAAGTAATCTCATTCTCTAAACATCACAAAATTTTACATTACCTACACATGTTTTATATATCTATATTTATATTCTACACATAATTAAAGAAAAAAATACACTTTAGGATTAGATTCTCATGTGTTATTTAAAGCAAGTAAGTAAGTATATAGGTACAGTAAGTTCGATATCGCAGTGCGTAATATTTGTTATTGATTCCACACTTGGCTCGTAATTTACGTAGAATTATTTTACTATTTTCTGAAATTGTGCTTTTAGTACCAACAACCATTTGACAGTAATTTTAGATAGCTTTTACTTGTGTATGTAGATAAGTTATTGTACTCATGTTTATATAACTGGATGTGATTCAGCAAAATTTTACAAATGCACGCTATCGTATCGATTTATTTGGCAAAACTCTGATTTATTTTAACTCTAATTGTAAAATATATTCTTCTTCGCAATTGTCAGTGTTCTCATTTCAGAACTAGAGAAGGCGATGGCTAACAAGAAACAAAATGAGAACGAAAATAACAGAAAATTGGTAAGTTTATGACGACTGTAAAAAATAACACAATTTTGAATATAAACCTTAAATTAAAAATTTATAAAATCCCCGACATTGATTATAATGAAATCATAGTTAAAAACACTCTCGATCAAGTTACCTCTTTAAAATAAAAAAATTAAATCAAAATCAGTTTATTCGTTACAGACAGATACACACCTCTTTTGTGTCGGGGGTTAAAAACAGTAAAACATCAGTGTAAAAGACGTATTCGTTTGCATATCTTAATTATTATAAATTAATTTGCAGCCCTAAATGAGAATTCTGAGGAAAAACCAACAAGCAAAATAAGTATTTTCCATAAATCAACCTCTAACTTTGATTTTGAATCTAACAAATATCTACTTAATCCAAACTCCGTATCCCTTTGTAGATTTTACTTAGTTTAAAATGAATTTTCGTCGAATAACTAGTGAACGTGGATTCGACCAATAAACTACTTCAGTTAATAATAGTGGCGTACAAATAAAGGATTCTTTACGTGATTCAGTCTCAATAATATTAAGGCATTATTGATTATTTAGATAATTTAAAGTCCTACTCCAAGGATGTATTGTACCGTCCCAAATCCTGATTGAAATTTTCAGATATGTTTTATAAACATAATTCAACTCTTTCGCAAACACCAACTTATATTTTCCTTCACCGATTTACAACAACAAACGAATAATTCTACTTGCAAATAGAGCATCCTATTATGGTCACCTATATTAATATTTATTACTTCTTAGTTATATATATATAAACAGCTAGTTGAAAAATTAGAATGGAAAATACGTATTTCCTGGAATTCCGTGAAGAACTGAATGATACACTTTTGTACCTATTTAATATTCCTCTAATATCTTTTTCTGTAAATATGTATAAAAAATATAAATAGATACGAAGGAAGATATTTATAGGACCTATTATCTATTCCTACATTATTATTGCATATTCAGATGTCATGTTGTTTTGGTAATCTGGATACGTTAATATTTTATAATGAGCCCTTTTTTTTGTAACTGTTCTATAAAAAAAAAAATTGAAACCCTTAGGGCTATAGAAAACCGTGTTGTAATTAAAAAGAAAAGTAAAAAATAATTATTTACACTGATGTTTCAAGTAATATTTGCTCTACTATCTGAATTGTTTTTGTTATTTCTTTATTAATATCTTAATAATTATTTTCACATTTGCTGTTAGAACATTGGACAAACGGTGTCGCAGAATCCTTACACTCAGAGCCCCAGTTGGAAAGAGAACATAGGTCTAAAATTTCTACAATCTTTGGTAGGTGATAATCACGTAAAAGCTATTGTCCGACTAAATAACTTTTATTTCATTTTTTTATAATTATGTGTTACCTACTTGTTACCCATTATTAATTAATTTAGAAACATACGAAGGATGTGCTAAAAGTAATGTAAGCCGATAGAATGTTTTCATGCTTTCTTTTTTGTAGCAATTAGCAGGAGGTTTCTTTCAAGAATTTTTTCGAATTTTTGACAGAAAACATTCTTTCTCAAAAAAGAACTAATCATCATTAGAACGTCATCAGCTCCATTTTCACTATCCCATGCTAATATCCTCATTTTCCGAATACTAGAACATCTTACATTTCCAACTGTTTACGTATTAAATGATCTCATCTAGGTCTTCTTCAGCTCCTATTTACTCCTAATTCTGCTTCTAATATGTCTCCAACCAACTCTTCATGCCTCAGAAGGTGTCCTATCACCTTACCTCTACTTTTTCCTGCTTACTTCCACAGTGCTCTCTGGTCTTCGTTTCCCAACATCTCTTCGTTTCTAACGTTTTCTATCCACGATCAGGGGCGGAACAAGGGGGGGGGGTCCGCGAGTGCCCGGGCACCCACTCGATTAGGTTCAAGCTCGTCGAAATGACCTTCTTTTTTTAGTCATTATAGTTTTATGAACTGAAAACTCAACTCCACCGAATTCAATTTTTCGATTTTTTCAATACAATGCATTGATGACTTTTTTTTACTCATTTTTTGAGCACCCAGTAAAATTGTAACGTTGTTGCGCCCCTGTCCAAGATATTTTCATCATCTTCCCTTAATACCACATCTCAAACATTTAATTCTTTTTCACATTTTTATTAATCTTTTCTCAATTTTATTCCTCGTTTTACGTTTTGCCATGAAAAAAATATTTAACAATTCGTTCTTAACTCAATCACTTCATTAACAACTTATTAAAGCCCTTTTCTATATTTTGAAATTTTAATTCGAAAAAACAACCATACAGTAAGTAAGTGGTGACTTTTAGTGTAACGAATACTAAACTATAATACATCTAATTTTTTAGTTAAATAAATTATAAAAAGCCCCGTCATCTCTCTTGTGTCTAAGAAATTTTTAGATGTATTATGGTTTTCTGTTATTGTATTCGTTACATTAAAGATAGTCACCCAGTAGTTGGAATGGAATTCTGAACAATAAAACTTTTCAAAATAAACTATATAAACTCAATTCACTTAGAGTGAAAACCAAAATAATAACTAATTATGTATATAAGAGTGCATTATGATTTTTTTTTATTATGGCAAACCTCTGTTAAATCAAAAGAAAGCGAAAACCACAGTTGCTTTATTTTTGGCACAGCCCGCGTATATAATAAACAGCACTTACTACATAATACTTATTAAAAAAGGAAAAGACAGAAAAATAATAAGTTTGCAG